TTTCCCTAACATCCCCACACGTACAACTATCATAATTTCACAACATCTTAATCTGGGAAAAGGGAGAAAGTGTATGAGAGTAAGTAAAATACAAATTGAAGTAGAATTCATATAATATATCGTTAGACGATAAAAGCTAAAGATGGCCAGGAGATTTCTTCGAAGCTAAAAAGTTGATAAAGATGGGATCCATTTAGGTCACCTTAAATTTTAGCTAGGTATTACAGAAGTTAGAATATGCTGCGTTTCAGAAGACTCAACAGCAACGTTTTTGATCTAGTTTCCCCCCCTTCTTTATACCAATTAAACTCTCTCTGGTTTTCTTTCAGTGACAAAATCTCACTTCATATATATTGGCAGAGAAGGAGGTAGGGATTTCGAGGGAGATAGGGTGGTGGGATAAGTGAATTGGAGATCCGGTGACTGAAGTGTTTCTGCTAGCATATTTATTACCATGAACGAAATTATCAATATGTATATTATTAGAAAAAAAAAGAAAAAAGAAAAAGAAAAAACACCATAGAATCTTTACCTTCAATATCATGGAAATAACTCAAGTACTCTAACTATGTATTATGCCACTTAAATTGAGTGACATGTACTAATTGACAACCACATAAAATCGATATGGTTTATAATAATAATAATAATAATAATAATAATAATGAAAAGAAAGTCATAACTAACAACTTTAATATATAAGCGTCTATTAGTAGCTCAATTCAAGTATATGGAGTATAGAGTAGTGTGTAGTTCTAAAGTATGATAAGTTATTGCCCTAAAACCATCAATTTCCTTAGAGAAAGAATAAAAAAAGAAAATTTCAGTTGATATTAACGTTATTAATAGTGGAAAAGCTTTTCTAAATCATGTTTGTTTTCAATTATGAGTATATATTCTAATAATTCTAAGAACAAAAGAAATTCCCTATCCATCTAGTTTATGCAAACGCACCTAATCGATTTTTCATTTGAAATTCATATTGGGTTGATGCATAAAAAAATGATAAATTCTTTTTTGGTAATATCAATTATTCAGAAAAAAAGAAATTGTTGAAGATACTAAAGGCCAAAACTAAACCTTATGATTAAAGGTCATGTGGGGCTTAAGAAGTAGCTTAAAGCACGAAATGAGCACGAGCTTTTAATCAGCTCTTAACTATGAGGTTTTTTTCAAAAAAAATTCCCTCGACATATCATATAATCAGTTGACAAAAAAATAATTTAGTTAAGCTTTTCTGGGAAAACCATACATCTTGCATTATGTTTACTATTGGCGGCGATCTTCATGGACATTGGTGCTCGATACAATTTTTGAAAACTTCGATGTTGAAAATATGTTTGCAGTTAAATATGGTAGGTAGTATAGTTGCTTTTGAAGTTCTTCATTGTCTTTATGTGATGGTATATTTTGAATCTCGAATATTGTGTCTGTTTTTATATTTGTATAAAATTTTAATTTTTTTAAATTAATTTCTTTTAAATTTCAAATTATTTTAATATATTAATGTTAAAATTATTTTTTTAAATAAAATATATTTTTTTAATATATATTTTAAATAATTTCAGAAATGAAATAAAACTATCTATCAAGTAATACTGATATGGGGTTTAATTGATTTAGAACTTGGAATTCTTTTAAGTGTTAAAAATTAAATCTTAAATAAAATTTAATCTTTAAAAATATTACATAAATAAATTTGATCAGAAGTTAATCCCTTTGATTTACAGTTTTAAAAAAAATTAATGTTAAAATTAGCTTTTTTAAAATACTTATCTCTCAATCTCTCCTCTTTTTTTTTTTTAATAGATCTTTAAAGAAATAAGATAAAGAATGTAAATATTATTCTTAAAAATATTCTGTCAGCGTATATAATAGAGATTTTGTCTATATTGAAAAATATAAATAATATTTTTTTTAATTTTTTTAATTATCAAACAATATATCTTTTTCAGAAATGAAACAAAACTATCTATCCAGTATTACTCATGGGGTTTAATTGATTTAGAACATGTTTGGAATTCTCTTAACTAAATTTAATTAAGAAGTTTTAATAAAAAATAATGTTTGGAATCCTTTTAATTGTTAAAAATTAAATTTCAAATAAATTTTAATCTCTAAAAATATTACATAAATAAATTCGATCAGAAGTCAATCCTTTTGATTTACAATTTCAAAAAGAAAAAAAATTAATGTTAAAATTAGTTTTTTTTTCAAAATACTCATCTCTCAATCTCTTTTTTTAAGAGATATTTAAAGAAATAAGATAAAAATAATATAAAAAACAAAATGAATTGAATTTTATCTTTATCAAATATGTGAATTCAACTTATTTATAAATTAAATTTAAATCAAATATTATAATTAAATTTAATTACAATACATAATTGGTTCCAAACAACCTGTTATGTAATTTATTTTTAACTTTCATTGTTAAATAATTTCTGAATAATCCATATTCATAAACATGGACTGCAATATGAGGAAACAAGGGCATGTATAATTTATAGTGACAATCTGTTAATAATTAAATGAATTCATTTGAATAATACTCTTGCTAAGAGTCATTTGACTCTCTTTATCTTTTTTTTTTTTTGTAAAAAAAACCTTTTAGGAGTTTCTATTGACATAACCTCTCAATCTATTGCAACAAGCTTGTTAATTTTTTTCCTCTTTAAATGACTAAAATGTCCTCTCTCTTTTTAATTACTACATTATTAAGAATAATCTAATTTCGAATGAAATTAATTTTACAGTATAAAAAAATGGTGTATATCAAAAGAAAACGACATCGAGATGATTTATTCATGGCGTCTTTCATGGAAACCAAAATTTCAGTGACTGTATCCTTCATCACTAGCATCTTCGATCGACATCATAACCATCCATGGTAAAGCCCATCATCAAAAACCAATAAACACGCCCAAAAGACTTGACACTAAGTCATTCTTTTTTACTTCCAATGGAAGAATTTTCTAGTTTAATTAAAATTGATCAATAAAAAAATACACATAAAAAAATTTAGCTGACCAAAAAAATAAATCTAGTTTGACATTGTCAATCCAAGCTTAATTCGGTTAAAACCTACCTATCAACTTATTAAATCTTTTTTTTTTAATTGTTAAAACTATGATTAAGATGATAAGTGGTGATTGGCTAATGTAGTTTATATTCATGTTAAAATTTAATTCATAATTAAAATTGTAAAAGGATAAATTTTGATTAACATAATATGTTTTTTCAGGAAATAAAAAGGCATTTTAGTCATAATCATTATGTTGAGCCATTTTTTCTTTTTTTTTTGTTTGGAATTTATTGTAAAACTTAAAAAATCACCATATAAATAACACTTATTTAATGTATCTAATTAGCATCACTGAATTTTGTTTTTATTTTTTTATCATAATTTAAAAATAAATGAAATCTATCAAATACATTCATTTAACGAGTGTTATATAAGCACTAATCCTCAAC